ATAGAAAATACAAAAAGTGGTGGCATAGAATTCTATGGCATTTCATAGACCTAACAGTGAAGAATACATTCACAATTTTCAATGAGCGATCGAATCAGGCCCGGATCCAGAGGGGGTGGCGATGTGGCGATCGCCACCCCCAAAGCACAACATTTTTTAAAGATCTTCAATTTCTCCAAACGACAACAGGCAGTTATTCGATATTAATGCAAGTAGAAGGATTCATTAGTGTCAAGCTCCTCTGAAAAAGTGCCACATTTTTCATTAGTTTATTGCTATTTTGCAATGCAAATTTTAAAAATTTTGGTTCGCCAATATGCCTATCTTGTACAACATTCAATAATGAACAAAAAATCTTTAGTTACTTTTTTTCGTCCGAGGCTTCCTTTACGAATAATAAGCGATAATATCCGAAAAAACGGGCCATTTTTGAATTATTTCGCACTTTTCATTAATTTAAACAAACTTCCCATGGTTTTCAGCTTTCCGCAGGTCGATATTCTGAATGTACACATTTTTCCGGTTCGATTAAAAAAAAAAACAGGTTTACATCAAGCAACAGCCATTTAGGCTCGTTTTTTGGCTCCGTTAACGAAACGGAGACAGGTAGATAGAGCCAGTCAATAGATTGCCTGTCTGCCTGTTGGGGTTTTCCGTACGCCTGTCTCAAAACGTTTATGGCGCAATAAATTTTTATGGCTTGAATGGGAAATTTCGTTATTTTTCTTTTACGTTTTTATTTTGAATCTCAAAACCCGGAATTTTTGGATTACGCGTTTTCTTGTCTCTTGGAGATACCTCTCCCCCAGTGGGCAGTGGGGGGACCCCCACTCCCGTTTTTAGTCAGATTTTCAATCTTCAAAGGATGCAGGGAGTTAAACTCCGCAGTTGTTTTTGAGAAACAGTGGGTGAAGGTGTCGTCTGAACGTAAAGTGCAGTTCTAGTGTTGTTTAGTTTTTAACCGATAAATCATCAGTGCCTAATTCAAATTCACGGAATATTCTGTTGAAACCGAAGACCGATTCGCTGGAGCGTAATAATTGTAAAAATGTAAACCTGACGGACAATCCAAGCGCGCTAGAATTATTAGATCATTGCGACATCGATATTTTCCCCCACATCCATGAATTGTTGAAAATCCTGGCAACTTTTCCTGTATCCGTAGCTTCCGCGGAACGGAGTTTTTCTTCGCTTCGGCGAATTAAAACCTGGCTGCGGTCAACTATGGTTGAAGAAAGGTTAACCAATTTGTCCCTCGTTCACATCCATCGGGATATTGAAATTGATCCTCTCAGCGTGCTTGACCGGTATGCGAACAGCCGAAAGCATCGTCTAGAATTTGCTTTGTAATAAATGTTGTCATAGCATAGCGTTCTTTTGTAAAATATCGATTTTTGTATCAATAAATATATGCATAATGTTTTTAAATTAAATATCTCTTGTCATTCAAAAATCCCCCTTCCCCCCTCCCCCTTCCTAACCTACACCTTACGTCATCAAAAAAATAACAACAACAATAATAATAATAATGATAAAGAAGTGCTTTGCGCCACCCCCAAAACCAGTCTCTGGATCCGGGCCTGGATCGAATAACGTGAAAAATTTATCCCTCAAATATTTTCGCTTGTTGGTGGCAAATGGCTTAATAGGTGCTGAACCTTCAGCCCCAAGCGNACGTCAAATCGTTTCTCCGCGTTTTGTCTTATTGTCTGTGTAGCGTTTGTGTATTGTAAGTCTCGTAATATGTCAGTGTTTCTTACGTACCAGGGCGCGTCGGTAGCCGTGCGGAGGGCTATGTTTTCCACAGCTTGTAGCGACTTTGTGGCTTTTTGGCGCGTGGAGGCATAGCAGGTTATCTGCGGTTGAAGTACCACCTTGATAAGCGTTCGCTTATTCCTTAAACTGAGGGTGTTTCCACCTTTGAGTAAGGGATAGAGCCTAGCCCTGATGGTCTTCGCTCGCGCCACCGTCTCCACGATGTGCAGTACAAACGACTCCGTGATCACGCATGCATATAAATTCGGGCTGATACCACAGAATGTAACAACTTCTGTGCTCAGTACATAGTGTAGGTGTAGACGAGGAGTGAAGACTTATGGGCAGCGCATACAAATTCGGATCCCTTTTTATAACCCAAATGAAAAAAGTTTAAAGTGTCATTTATAGCGCTGATGGAGCCTAGTAATGAAGTTGCGCTTACAACGTCGAGCGTGGTTGCCCATCTTTCATACTCTACTTACTTGCATCAGCGCCGCCTTTATATGACCCAGAAATGGCTCACTTTTTTTTTCAGTCATTGTATACACTCGCCATACTTCTCAATTTAGCAAATCAGTACATGTCTTCGTCCTGTACTATCAACTTGAATAATAGAAGTTGGAAATAACCCCAGCGTGCAATGAGTGCAAAGATGGAAATAAATCGAGAACGTTGTTAAATTCCAAAGAAATAACGAGGTAGATTTTTTTAGTTTCCGCGTTTAAGAAATAATTCTGGTCGCAACCGCTTGTAGCGCTGCTTGTGTTTAATTATTATTATGTATCGACCATATACAGACTATCTATAAAAAAAACTCCGCGGTCGAAATTATAGATGAGTGACTCAGACCTAATATAAAAACACTATTACCATAACGCGTATAAAATATAAAATGATTTTTGTAACGGTTCAATATTATTTATCTTTGTGCCGCTCGCTACGCACATCGATAGAATCTATAATCGCCTATAGACTGAGTTACATTGAACGTTGATCTATATTCTATCTTTATCTTTTGCATTTGGTAGGGAATAGGGAAATGCTTTTTTAGTGGGTGTAAACGAACTTGATTTACCCGTCCTGAGAAACGTCATAGCATAAACGTAGACGAAGGATCTAATTCCGTGGTTATAATAAATTTATAAATTAAAAAAACACAACCGAGACGTTTTAAAATGCTGTAATAATTAAAATGGATCAGTGCCGGTTATAGCAAACCGTAAAAAATATTAGATGTTTTATTATCCTTTTTTCAATATTTTCTATATCTTGTTGCCTTTTACGCTGATACGCCAATGGATTTTCGTTCCCGGCACGCTTCATCCTCCTTACTAGTCCAAAAGCTAGCGATGAATCAATCTCTAATCTCTACTATATAATTTCGACCGTGGAGTATAGTAAGTATATGGTATTGAGATAGATCAATCCATATAAATCATAATACAGATCAATCTATCCAATATAATCATTCTTGACAAAAATCTATTCTAATACTGAATAGCTCTAGAACTAATTGGGAAAAAATTAGTCCTTTCTAATTCAATATAAATTTTTTAATTTTCTTTCCAACTAGTTTCGGCTATCTTCAGGGAAGAAAATACGACAATCATTGTAACAGCTTCATAAAGTATTAATAAATACCAGTAATAAAAAGTATTAATAAACAACAGTAATTTGTTCAAATATAAAATATCAGTAATTTATAAAACCTTTTAAGTCATTTGAAATTTACACAAGTACACTACCATTTATACACTACCAATAATCTGTAGCAGAAAATGCTTAGGGGTACGAACTGATAAGCAAGGAGAAAATATATTTCAATTCAAACTGAAATATTTTCTTTTACAACAATTATAAAATAAAATGATAAAACATGACAGTAATTATTAACAGTAAACAAAAATTTTACAATTTGAAATTGATATTTACACATCAACTGTGTTGTCTATAGTTTTTTCTTATTTAGTGGATATTTCCCATGTGATAAAAATTTAAAAATTACTGAAGAAAAACTAGTACCAAAAGGATCAGTCGAGTGTTATTTCCGCACTTCCGCTGCCATTATTGACATTTTATAAAAAGATCGACGCAAAACAAAAACAAAACATGTCTGTCTCTTCGGTGTTCAGAATCATAACTGAGAAACTGTAGAAAAGAAAAATCGCTGTAAAATGGGTTCATCATCTGAGTGAAAAGCAAAAAGCAAATCGCAAGAGAATGGCACAATTGCTTCAATGTTACGAGATAGAGGAAGANTTCCCGGCCTGCTTCATCCTCCTTACTAGTCCAAAAGCTAGCGATGAATCAATCTCTAATCTCTACTATATAATTTCGACCGTGGAGTATAGTAAGTATATGGTATTGAGATAGATCAATCCATATAAATCATAATACAGATCAATCTATCCAATATAATCATTCTTGACAAAAATCTATTCTAATACTGAATAGCTCTAGAACTAATTGGGAAAAAATTAGTCCTTTCTAATTCAATATAAATTTTTTAATTTTCTTTCCAACTAGTTTCGGCTATCTTCAGGGAAGAAAATACGACAATCATTGTAACAGCTTCATAAAGTATTAATAAATACCAGTAATAAAAAGTATTAATAAACAACAGTAATTTGTTCAAATATAAAATATCAGTAATTTATAAAACCTTTTAAGTCATTTGAAATTTACACAAGTACACTACCATTTATACACTACCAATAATCTGTAGCAGAAAATGCTTAGGGGTACGAACTGATAAGCAAGGAGAAAATATATTTCAATTCAAACTGAAATATTTTCTTTTACAACAATTATAAAATAAAATGATAAAACATAACAGTAATTATTAACAGTAAACAAAAATTTTACAATTTGAAATTGATATTTACACATCAACTGTGTTGTCTATAGTTTTTTCTTATTTAGTGGATATTTCCCATATGTGATGAAAATTTAAAAATTACTGAAGAAAAACTAGTACCAAAAGGATCAGTCGAGTGTTATTTCCGCACTTCCGCTGCCATTATTGACATTTTATAAAAAGATCGACGCAAAACAAAAACAAAACATGTCTGTCTCTTCGGTGTTCAGAATCATAACTGAGAAACTGTAGAAAAGAAAAATCGCTGTAAAATGGGTTCATCATCTGAGTGAAAAGCAAAAAGCAAATCGCAAGAGAATGGCACAATTGCTTCAATGTTACGAGATAGAGGAAGACCAGTTTTTAAACACGATTGTTGCTATAGATGAAACATGGATTTGAGATTTTGAACCAGAATTGCAATCTCCCACTTCCTCCCAGTGGAAACATCCTGACTCTCCTCAGACAACAAAATGCCATCGCCAACAATCCAGTCAATCTGATCATGATTATGGCTTATGACAAGCATGGACCGATAGCAACAGTGCCCCAGGGAACCACTGTAACAGGGCGGCACTTTCTGCGAAATATTTTGTGGACAAAAAAGGGCCAACACTATGGTAGCTGGAGTGCTCATTCTGTATGATAATGCAACCGCACATTGCCGAACCTGTGTGCAGAGTTTTAGAGAATTAGGGATGCGAAATCCTTCCCAGCTACCCTATAATCCTGACATGAACCCAACAGACTAATTTTTTTCCAAAACTTAAGAAACCATTCATATGGTAAACCCTTCTCCATCGACCCTATAGTCCAGAATGCGCCCAACAGACTTTGATTTGTTTCAAAAACTTAAGAGACTGCTATAAGGGAAATGTTTTCAAACCATTGAATAGGCTTGTTAATTTTTGATTTGGCAAAACCATTTTCATAAAAAATAACCCTTAACTGATGCTCCTAGCACAACGGATTTTTTCTATAAATTGGTAACTATTCACAGGCAACAAAATATCCAAAAAGAAAAAATTATTTTAGACTGATTGATATTTTTTAACTATTAGAAATTAGCGGTTTAAATATCTCTAAGTACTTTTATATAAAACATGAGAACGTAAATAGGTAAAGTAAGTACGAATAGACACTTTATGAATGTAATCTCTAACCACAAATTATGTTTACCCATGTAAACTATATGTCAACAAAATTCCAAAGCTTAATTTCGCCATCGTCACTACAAGACACTAATAGTCCTGCAATGGCAGGATTCCATGCCACACAGTTTACATCTTGGTTATGTGCCCTGTCAACTGTACAAATCAAATCAAAAGTAGGTGCATTGGGATCAGACGTTTCATTTTCTTTGAATACCCTAATTGCATCATCTCCACAACCTGTGGCTATAAGTCCAGTTTTAGGACACCAACTGATATCATAAATTGTTCTGCCATGATGACCAGTTAAGGTGCATATACATTTCCAAGTTGAATCTCCATCCACAGTAGCAACTCCCTCTGGATTGCCGGGTGGATATTCTTTCCATATTTTTACTGTCTGATCATCACTACACGAAGCAAGTCGTTTACCATTACCTTCAAAATTAATACTCCAAACTGTTGATTCATGGCCAGTTAAAGTACCACAACATACCCAGTCTTCATCACTGGGGTCTTCTCTGAATAACTTTATTGTATTGTCATATGATGCAGAGGCCAAAAGATCTTTCTCTGGATGAAATAGTACCTGGAACAAATATTTTTTGTAAATAAAAAAATATTGTGATAATTATCAAGAAATATATCCAAACCAATTATTAATTATGACACTTACAGCCATTTTATGGAAACATAATGTTTATTTAGTGATCAGTACAATAATTACAGACTTAATCGTTAAAAATTAACCATGTCTTCATACACAGAGTGAAATTACAAACAGATCCCTATTTGAATCTAACTGCAAACAAATTACATAACTTTATACTCTATAGAAGAAGATCTCCCATTCAACTGAGATTTTCAGTAAAACGATACATTATACCGATTTTCAACTTTTTTTATTTAGAATTCACGGAATCTAAACATGAATCCCAAATGACGTACAAGTTGGGATAAAAAAAACCCACTTCACTACCCATTCCTATGGCACTGACCTATAAAAATTTGTAAATTTCACAGTAAATTATGCACGTGTAAATTTGAATCAATTTGTTATAAGCATACTAAGTTCTATTTATAGTAAAGTTTGAATCACTCGAACTGAAACACCCTGTATGTGCACATGCTATCGACATAAGAAGAGAACTTAGAATGGTTGATTTTAATAATAAAATAATCCAAAATCAAACTGTAAATAGAGAAAGTAATAATATGTATAGTGGTTACCAGCTTAAATTTTTTCAATATTTACGATTAGAACAATTTTAAATGTCATTTTGTAAATCAAATATTTTGTTAATATTTTAAGCTTGTAAGAAAGGGATTGTCTTATTTTATATTAAGTTTCCTCTATTGATTTATTTATAAAATTTGGCGTAACAAATATTCATAAAAAATCGTATGTAGTGAACATTACAAAAGGCTCAACCACTATTCACCAACTTTATCTTTGTTAACAATAAATTAGTTACATATTCTACCTTCTAAAATAGTAGGTAACACAAAACAATAATATTGCTTATTAATAAGTTTACTAATTAAATTATTAAAAATGGTACAAATGAGCTTATAACAGCTTATTTATTATAAAATGTTTTCTCATTACCTTTTTGACATCTTGTGAGTGAGCATTTAAAACAGCAGCACAGTCATACTCGTCATCATCGGCAACCTCCCAAATCCATACAGATTTATCCCTGCTACAAGTAGCTAGTATCTGTCCAGATCTAGACCAAGCAACACTTTTCACTTCATTTTCATGACCTTCCAGACTAGCATTACATTCGAATTCTCCGCTTTTTTTGTCCCAAATAGAGGTTGTTGCGTCAAAACTAGCTGAAGCTAAATAATTACCACAAGGGGACCAAGCAACTTGTCTTATTGTTCGTTTGTGACCCTCAGAAAGAACTAATTTATTACACCATTTGCCAGTCATATCCTTTCCCCAAATTCTTATAGATTTTTCTTCACCACAAGAAGCGAATATTTCGCCCTTGGGATGCCAATTAACATTCCACACTCGCCCGTTATCTTTTTTCAAAGTCTGTATTAACTCAAGTTTAGCCATTACTTAGTTACTTTAGTAACAAATAACAAATAAAACTTTCATAAGATGAATTAAAAAAAAACTAACCTCAATTTCCAGAAAATAAAAAAACAAAAGTAAACCTATAATC